TAGCGGGTTTAGCGGGTTTAGCGGAGCGCAGTCGCCCTATGCGCGCGCAATGGGTTTCTACGCCTATAGCATTTCTAAAAGATTCTAAAACCCAATCGCGCCTTAGATTCTATAGGGAACCTGCAGGAGATATTCTAATTCCGCTAAAATGAATATCTTATGATCATGAATGACTACCAAGGTAAATTCTATATATGATATAAATTGCCTATATATTTGTCTTAATAGAAATATTCTCCTTCTGAAAGATCTCTTCCCGCCTGATGATTTCATTCATATAAAATCGCCAGGATATCGTTTTTCCAATCACCCTCTCCTTACCAATTACAATAACGAATCAGAAGAATCGCGAAAGATTTTAATGAAGCAATTCGGGCATGATGTCATCCCAACCTTGGACTTTGTGGGGATCAGCAATGCGCAAATAAGCTAATTGCAGAGCAAGCAGCTGCCACCCAGCGGAAACCGCACGAAGGGTAGCTTCGCCTTCCAGCCATTACCCAGTCTTATGTTACAACATGTTGCGCGGGCCCATCATCCTGCAGCCAATTCTGAGGCAACTTAGACCTAGAAAAGTTCATCACTAGTTCATCAATTCCAGCTGAGACTGCAACCGCCGAGAGCTTGTCCATGAAGTTCTGATTCAGCGATGGCTCCTCCCCAGACGCCAAATGAGTCTGATTGGCAAGTGCGTGTTGTCAGCTCTCCTGTCAGAGCAAGCGCTGAACGCCATCCACACGTTGCAGAAAGTATTTCTACTACAACTGCAGGGTTGGCTGCAATCCATGCACCTCCTTCTCGTGGCCATGGGTAAAATCGTCTACCAAGATGGTCTCTGGTGTCAAGTGGCACACCTTCCGAAACAATATGTGCAGCTTCGTTGCCTACCTTGCCTCTTGTAAAAACTCACAACCCCTAAAAAAGGCATGCTATGTGGCACGATTACTTGCAGCCATAAGACGGAACTCCAGGCGAGCCCAGCACACCATGGAGCTACTTGCACACCCATTTACCATCCGCATCTGATTCGGAAACTAAAAACCCTGATTCGGAAACTAAAAACCCTGAGTCGGAAACTAAAAACCCTGATTCGGAAACCAAGCTGATTCGGAAACTAAAAGCCCTGATTGGGAAACTACAACCCCTGATTCGGAAACTAAAGACCCTGATTCGGAAACTAAAAAACCCTGATTCAGAAACTAAAAAGCCTGATTCGTAAACTATTACCCCCCCCCACCCCCCACCCCCATCTGCCAGGGCTTCAAGAAGTGCAGTTTCAGTTGAATTTCCGAATCGGTGATTTTTAGTTTCCAAATCGGTGATTTTGGTTTCCGAATCAGGTAATCCTGGTTTCCGAATCGGGGGTTCTTAGTTCGCGAATCGGGGAATTTTTAGTTTCTGAATCGGGGATTCTTAGTTTCCGAAGTGGGGAATTTCTAGTTTCCGAATCGGGGACTTTAGTTTCTGAATCGGGGTTTGCTCATCCTCTGATGCTCTGATCCCTCACAAGACAGAGAAAGCTTGCAGCAAACCTCATTGAGAAAAAGCATCCAGCAGCCTTCGACTGGGGACGATCCACAACGATGAGGTCATCGTACTCAAAATCGTTCAAGTCAAGCCATGTCTGTGTCACGTTGAATGCGTCCTGCGCGGCTCGGGGGCTAAGGAGGAGAGTGAAGAGGTAGGCCATCTTGAGAGGCATTCGCGCCAGAAACTTGCCGCCCTTGCTGGAAGCCTCATGCTACCTAGAAAAAAGTTCCATGGCGATGCACCTTCCTACCCGTATCTTTGGCTTCCATCTCCCCGAGTGAATATGATAGGGCCTCGTAGGACCCGCGAGCAGTGAGAAAGCGGACGAAGTATATCTCACGCAACCTCTGTCAGGGCATCATGGCTTTTGGCCACAAAACCGTCAACATTGCACAGCTAGGGCTTTGGGTGCCATGTCGGATGACCCTGCTAACTCTCGCAGATTCCGGCCTTCGAAGCGCATCAGCTGCTCCCGGGACGGGCAGATCCTTCATGACCTCCACGAGCGTATGTGGAGCTGGTCCTACTGATGAAACAGCGCCCCATGCCCGGCCACCACTCTTGCAACTAGCAGCTAGCAATCCCACCCTGTCGAGTGCCTCGTTGGCCGTGTAGGCCTTTTTGTCTCCCTTCCACCGCCTGGCCACACGGGTAAAGCTCTAGGGCAGCTTGGGGAGAATCCTGAAGGAGATATTCGGGACGGCAAGCCGGCAACAATCAGAAGCTCAACGTTGAAAGGACCCCCAAGAGCTTCACACCGTGAGGTGTGTTGAGGTCATTTAGAATTTGTCGGCGCTGATGGGACTTGGCTTTCGTGATGTTGAAAAAGCTGGAACGCGCAAATCCGACAGTGCCAACCCTGCAAGCCACTAGCAAATTGCAAAGATTTCAGCCGAAATCGGAATCAGCCGCATATGCCGAATTACAGGAGCCCAGAAGGCAGGCCTGACGCGGTCCATGGAGAGGGCTATTACCTTCGTCTCGTACATCTAGCAACTTTGTGCATGACACGGAAGGCTGCAAGCTCACATGCGATACCACACGACAAGGATGTCAACGACTCAGCCGCAAATCGTTTGCACGCTCGGAGTTGCCAGCTTAGCGCCTTGCATTATCAATGTCCACAAAAAGATGCTTGCGCTCGCATCTGTACCTCAGTTGCTAAATGTTGCGACTAGCTGCGCGGCTACACCTCACAACTGAACGGACACGAGAGTTCCATCACAGCTTCGGATTGCAGAGTCTGCTTTCACAGCCGTTCTCAGCCAAGTGCCGGTCGATCACCGCCAGCACCATGAATTCTGTCCTTAATAGAGAGCTGCCCGCTACACCAAGGCAGCAGTCAGGAGGTCGGTTGCGTTGTGAGAGCATCTTTCAGCATGCCTGAGCGGTCCCAAGCTGCGGGCCATCCACGTCGTACTTCCAGATACCTGTCATACAGAGGAGCCATTGTTCAGGCTCCTGCACACGACTGGTCGTGAAAAGGAATACGGTCCAAGCAGCAGGAACATGCAATCTGGTTGATGCATACCGTATGCAGCATACTTGACAACAACTGCTGGCACAGATGCAGAAACAGGTCGCGGGATACGCTTTCCGGTAGCCTGCATCACAACAAGGCTTCATTCTGACTCTCCAGCCACATCGCAAGGAGAAAGCTGGCAGACTGGCATATCGGACAAGTCTTGGGACAGGCCGCGTTTGGCATCTTGTCGTGACAAGCAGCTGGCAAGGATATGCCCAACAGCAGATGTTGCCGCAATTGAAACTGGCAAGTGTCTTAGCAGTGCCTGCCTGACGTGTGCTTAAACTCGGCGTACGTCTTGTGCCAGGATGCTGGCGCCGGTCTAGGCGAGGCGAGCGTTCATATCACTGCGCAGATTCGGAATGTGTGCAGCTCAGCCCAGCACGGATTGATGTCGCTCGTGGGAGAAACCTTGCTTGGCAAGGTAGCCGCGCAGTATGCAAGGCAGGGCATTCCCATGCAGTCTGCAAGGACTGGAAGCCACACACCTGCATGATGCTCTGAGTACTTCTTCAGGCATTGGCTTCAAGAGTATACGGCGTGGTCTTCACATCCGCATCCTCCTCTTCCCAGATGAAGTCAACACCTCCAGATGTCTTCCGGTACTTCATTCAACCGGCGTAAGCTAGTAGCATGTGCAGGGATCTGAAAGCTTCAAATCAAAATAGAGACAGCTGGGGAAAGGGTAGCTGACTCAAACAGACGAGCGTGACTAAAGTCATACGGCACTGTCCATCTGCATTTGCCGCTATGCATTCCTCCAAGTCGGCATAAAGGCGCATACCAGGGCGGATTTTCAAGATGTTCAAGGGAGTCTGAATGGCAGTCTTGAATTCTAGAGCGCAGCGTAGTGGCAATGAGTGACGTGGGCCAAGCCTCCCACCGGAACGCCTGTCCTGGCACTGGCTTTGCAGTGAAGCCCAAAATCTAGCAAACGGCATGGTGTTCTTTCGCATAGCTGGAGATATTGCTAAGTCAGCCCCATCAAACAAGAAGGCTCGGATAATGCATGCATGGTGTGCAAAATTGCTACGAGAGAGTTTGAGACTTAAGTGGTCAACGCGAACTCAAGCTGAACTGCAGTCGGGCAGCTTGTTTGCAAACTCGGCCACATAGGGTGCGATGCCTGCCCTGCGCCATGCAGAACAAGACTGGAAGCTGTTTTTTCTCCATACCTAGATCCACCAAGGTCCCGGCAGAGGAAAATCGAAGTCCTGGAAACCTCCGAGGTTGCTCGCCTGGAAGAGCTGTTGCATCTTCAGCCGCGTGGAGGGGAGGGGGGTTATCAAGAATCTTGGTATTAAGGGGGCCCCAGCTTTAACGACGATCCACAGTTCTAAAGCACAATGCATTAAGAACTTACCTGATGTCTCGATTGCATCAATTTCGCGACGATTTCGCAGAATGAGGCAACTCTTCTGCAGCAAGTTACGCTTACACTGTTAAGGCAGCAGACTCCCACATCACAATCTGGCTGCACAAGGAGAAATGGTGGTATGAAGCTTGTCTTTATTCACCACTGCTTCGGCAACAAGTATCCACATTCCCGACAAACCAGTCAGCGGGCCGCAGATGCCGAGTTGAGGCTCTTCCTGGCAGCCGCATTTTCAGATGGTTCAGCTGCTTGCATTCAAACCAATCAAGCAATGAGAAACAAGAACGACAGATCCAAATCTGAAGTTGGCTTGGGGTATGCTGGGGTTGAGGTATCAAGTACAGGGAGCTTAAGACCCTCATGGGATGACAAGGGCAGAGCCAGCCTTATCCGCCAGTAGCCGTGGAAGGGGCGCCCGTCCACGTAGGTGACCCGCGCCTCTTTGAGCGCAACCACCTGGCAGACTGACAGCGACTGCAACGCAACAGTGGCGAATCGTCGCTTGTCAACAGTTTATGTAGATGTGAGGGATGACGGGAATCAAAACAACAGCTTGTTTAGAGATACGACGTTCCCCCAGCTACACGCAGGAAAAATGTAACTGCTTTGAAGCATGGTCGGTCAGATTGCAGGGCTGTGTGGAAGAAGCAGCACGACTGCTGGCTCAAGGCTTGCATGTGGAGGTTCTGAAAGGTCGGCAGCTAGCGAAGATCGCGACGTCAACACCACCCATCTCCGCAACTGTTGACACTTTCTACATGCGAATAACCCTGAGCCCTAAAATGGTAGTTGCTATTTCATTTTCCACTTGATTCTCCACAGTTGGGATAAGCCTATATATCACCATATATCTCCATATACAAGCCCTACGTATACACTCCCCCTATAGTCCCTATACAACTCATCATTGGGGCATATCCCTATCAGCCTTATCTCCTACACCCGAACCCCATGGCCCTATATCCTCCCATATATTCCTGTATAACCTTAGTTGTCCTATTAGCCTTAACGTAACCTATTAGGAGGTTGGAGTCTTTGAGATTGAGCCTGAAGGCTGAACGAAGTGGAGCCAAGTCCATCCACACGGTCAAGGGTTTTAGGCTTTAGGCTTTAGGGCTCTTCTGGATTGGGAGACCCTCAAAGGTCGGAAACGTTGGGCGTTTCAGGAGGAAGCCTGGTATACATTCCTTCAGGTTGGATGCATTCATGATCCTCGCAAGCATTCACGTGTGGGATTTTTTCTCGTCTGAAGTGCTGAAAGGCTCGAGGACTGACAGGTGGTCCAGGGGCCTGCAGCTTCACAAAAGACTTGCAGAGAGGGACTTTCACTATGGCAGGCTCCCTGTGGATCACCCGAGAGTTCTTTGAGCTTCGGTTGCTTGGAAGCCGTAGCGGGGCTATGCAATGTAAGTCCTTTGCAGACAAGTCGAACTTTCGGATTAAGGTTCGGCCTTGCTCTGCACGATGGCCTCTACGTCTTGCAGGGCGTTGGAGAAGTAGAGCTGCATCTTCTGGCGCCGGAGCAGGGCTGGTGAGCAGCTGATCGTCCAGGCTTGCACAACCCCAAATCTTTCGGCAGCTAGAATGCTCGGTGTCGCCAGGGCAGTCTCCCATTCGGTTGATGACATGCAGTCAGCCTCCATGAATTCGTTTTGGTCAGCTGCCTGGAGTAAACCAAGACCTCAGATGCTGACTCTGCTCGGAAGATATGGCTTCTAGATCTACGTAGACCGCGACACCTTGATGCAACAAATAAAGAGGGCTGCCGAGCTGCTGGAGAAGCCGTAGGGGTCCTCAGAAAGCAAAATGGCAAGCCCAGCAGCCATCCGGCAATTTCTAATTACTGCCGCAGTCCTTGATAACGACCGGAAAACGGATGTTGTCCTTCTCCTACGGGACACAAGAAGGCAGACAAGGCACCACTCAGCATGCAGCATGCCTGGGCACCGCACTGCCCTGGCTTCATCCAAGCTCGTGATAACCCAGGTTGGAGGGATTTTCACCTTGCCAGCTCCAGAGCATCAGACCGCCTCAGCAACGCAAAGCCCTGCCTTGCGCTCATTGAACAGGCGAGCCAGCCCTACCTCGAGGGTTGGAAGACTACGACATGAGGCCAGGAATTTGCCATCGCTTCCACAGCGCACCCCCACATTTCACGCTAAATCTGATTGCCCCACGTGTCTCGTAGTCTCAACTGATCCGAGACTGCTGCTCAAGACAATTTAAGGAGGAGCTCGCATCATCTCTCTTTCTGAGGTCGCCGGCCTTGTTCTGGTAGTACAGATAAGTTTCAGGCGGCGGATAAAGAATACCGCCTCATGGCACTTGGTCTCGATCTTGCCGGATCTTGGCGATATGTTGACGGCACCAACAGAGATTCGAACCTCGCTGCTGGAACTTGGCGTACCACTCCACAATTTGGTAGGGCAGCCTCACGAAGACATTCAACAGCGCATCTGCTTGCTGGTTTCCTACATGGCAAATGCCTGATTCTTCTTAGAACCTCCACAGTTGCCGCATGTACCAGTGTCATGAGCCTCTTTTCGTAGAGCTCGCCCTCCTTCAAAGGCAGCTCGAACTCGTGGTTCCCACCGACCCGCCAGACATACCTCACAGCTTCAAAAGACAGCGTATCGCGAGACGATGAAAGACAGCTGCAAGCCGGTATGTCCATAGCAGCGGGCAAGAACAAGCGCAAAAGAAGCTCTGCCCATGAAATTGTGACTGCAGTAGCCGGGAAGTATGAAGATCGCTCAGACGGTCAGACAGCAGCTGGCGGCCGCCTTGTGTCTGGTACTGTCTCTTCTGCGGAATCGATGAGGTGCGGCCTTTGCGAGGTGTCTTCATGCAACTCTTCTTGCCGGTTGTCCCATTCAGCGTCTGGCTTTGCCACACCCGCCGTGGGAAAAGTTTGCAAGAAGAGCTCGCGGAAAATCTCCTCCGGCAAGATGCACCGTAGGCAGGATGTGCGGCATGCTGGAGCTTCTGCGCAGATCTGTCATGCTTTCTGCCAGCTGGGCCAGGTGTGGCAGAATCGGGGGAAGTCCTGATGCACCACGTGCTTTCCCTGATTGAACCTGATGTGGGATGATGCGAGCACGCGGAAACTAACTACGAGTTGCTGCTTGAGTTCCTAGACCTCTTCACATGGCTTTGCCCTGTGGCTCCCGGCTCAATCCATCCAAACGGCGGTGCCAGGGGAAAGACCACAGCAACCTAGACTCCCAAAACCCCAGGTCCCACCAAGCACTGAAGCCCTGAGAAGTGGGCCATGCCGCGGAGCTTCTTGAGAGGCACGTTTTTCGGCCTTGGGATACTGCGGGTAGGATGCCGGATTAGGTTTTAGAAAAACCTCTTCTGCAACAATTGCAAAACACTCTGTTGTTGTCATTGCTCCAGTGGTTGAAACGAAGAAAAGGCAACATTATCTAGGTCCATGGCGTTGAGAAGCGGAGCATGGATTTGCACCAAGGTCCGGCGGTGATCACGTGACCTTGGACTGTCATGTCCAGCCTTCTTGCCTGTTGATGCTTCAGAATTTTTCAGCAAGGAAAAGGGCTTCCAAACAAGTGGAATGCTCAAGAAGGCCAGGTTCGGAACGCCAGTGGCTAAAAGCGCCATCACCCGTCTCCGCAATGTCCTTGTGATTGCTGTGTGCTGGCCCTCGGAAACGGGGTTCTCCAGCGCATCTGTTTTGGCCGCTGGTTGCAATCAAAGCTGGGCACCCTGCCCAGCGGGTGGAAGTGCTCGTGCTCGTCTACGTGGAAAAGCTGAAGCCTTGGCAACAGAAGGCAAATCAAACGGTTCACAGCTCAAGAATTTAGCCTGACGCCTTCCTAGCTCACTTACCCAGTCTCAGCACCAGCTGAGGCTATCTTGGTTCAGCACGTGGAGCGCGTATTTCGCCAGCTCCCCGATTCATCCTCACAGACACGCATCCCGCAAACTGCAGTTCAGCCCGGACACCCTGAATCAAGAAGCCCGCATGATCCGCTGTCTTCAGCGGTCCATGTGCAAAAGTCAGCGCTGCGCTGAATGGCAGGGTGAGCAGATTTGTCAACCCCCCTTTGACATCCGCAAACAAGCCTTTGGCCAAGGAGCTGCCACAATGTAGCGAGGAAAGGGGAACTCGTACGCATGGCCCTCGACCTTCTTGGCCTGTTCCGGCGCACTGGCAGCATTCCGCAGCTTTCGGCTGAGCGAGATGACATGAATTCAGTGAGGGCTGAAAAACTCATCAAAGAATTGCTCGGGTCTGCAGAGTCCTGTGCTAGCTTGTGGGAAGCCCTAGGACCCCAGAAATAAAGGACGGATAATCTATCGCACAAGGTCTCCAAACTGAAGCATGTTCTGTGCATTGCAAAGTCTCTCTGGACCTGCAGCAGTGCTTGTTTGGCTCAATGATGTTTAACGGCTCCTAGATCTAGAGTCGGCGCCTGGGAGCGCTAATCAGCTTGATCCAACCCAGGTCAGACCAAAGACTCGAACCCCAAGGCCGCAGCGTGGCCTCGAGCAGGTTCAGGTGAAACACGAGCGCCTAAGCAGAGCAGCAAGGATATAGCAATGGTGATCACGAGTATTCCTAAGGAGCCCACTCCTGTCCAGATTGACTTTTCCCTTGTAAGGGTAATCAGACGCAAATAAGCTTTCGACGTCTCCGCGTCTTTCGCAGCTTTTGACCATGCTAGCCTTAGAAGTGACTTCGGATCTTACGTCGAGGCTCAGGATGTCCGGCGCGAGCACAACAATTCAAAGTACAACAGGTAGCGTCTGACACAAACTCTAGGATGGAAAACAGCTGTGGCTCCTGACCGGCCTTGACCGTATCGTTTCCAAATCATTCTCAGGCACCTGATCAAAATACGGATGCCGCAGCTGACAACGTGCGAGAGATTGCCATTGGATTGCTGGCTTTCGAGGGCAAGCTGCAGCACGATACATCAGTACTAAGGCGTGCGCCTGCCGCCAGTTGCGTTTTGCACCCGATGGCATGATGCACTCTGCAGACAGAATTCGATACCTCAGCATGCAGCTTTCCCACTACCATAAAGGCTCTCTCAAACCGCCTTGGTCCAATTAATTACCTGCATCATGGCCGCATGCAAGAGCTACAACTGCGTACTGCTTGTTCAGTCTGAGCATTTTAAGGGACAAGGCCGCACAAAGCCCGGGACGCAGATTTCTTTGGAGGCTTTGAAGGCTTGTGCCTGTGACCCCAGGGTGCGTGCTGGAAGTCAGGGTGTCACTACATAAGCCATACTACCAATGCACTGGCGACGCATATGTGGACTTGTGAGGATCACCAAAATATGTTCCCACCGGCTTAAATGCACAGCGACACTTGAAATTGGACATTGACGATCAGCTATTTTCCGCACGATTCAACATCGCTCAAAGGTCACACCTGTGCCTGGCGTCACCAAGGGTGACCTGTGCCCGTGAATTCGCTGGCCAGAGAATGGACAAAGAGGAGAGTCATGAGAACCCAGAGAAGCGCGCACATGTGCACACACCCGGTGCGGAGAACAAACTGCCAGCTTTGAAATTCTGGCATGGTGCAGTATGCAGTAAGCGCAGCAGCGGAAGCACAAGGCCAACTGACACGCTTTGGACAATGTCAGGGCGGCCTTCGAAGTTGGCTCAAAACTCTTTGAGCTCTGCACCTGCCAGCAGACAGACTGCACAGTCTTCAAGCTACATCGGGAAGTGCTGAAACTGTGTATGCTCGCCGCGCAAAACTTCTCTGATGACCTAGGTAGCAGGCAATGTACGTGTCTCACATGCATCAACAAATAGCTTCGGAGATGGCACCGAGCTACGGATGAACTGCAAACACTCAATGTGGAGTGGAGTATTGGCCTGGCCTTTGAAAACACTCCCCCCGTTGCCGACACAGCCATGAATGCTTCGCATGCCTTGCCTGGTTCGCTAGCAGGTTGTGAAGAGTTGGCTGGTCCTCCGCAAGTGGAACAAGACGTCCATTATCAAGCGGACCCTTCGAGACGTGGTTTGATTGGCTTTTGCTTTGGGAGACTCCAGCCCGGGCGTTGTTTCTCCCCTGAGCGCAATAAGATTCTGTCTCGCTGCCGAACTCCCAGGAGTCCAATGTGGGCGAGTCGTCCAAGATCTTTGCACCCCCTCCCTTCACCCTTGTCCAAGTGAGAGTTGTTCAGAGCGGATATTTTGCTGCAACTTCTGTCCCCACCCGATCTCAAATATCCAAACCAGCAAGTCTTGATTCACAAGCAGAAGCAGTCCTTCTGACCTCAGCTGCTCGTTAACTCTAAAGGATGTGCACCCGTGCAAGGATGCTGATCATCGTGAAGGATACTTCCCACATGCTTTGGTGCATGATGATGCATGTTCTCCTGCCGTGATTTGCCGCACACATTCCCAGGCCCCTGTCACAACGGTGTGCCAGGCCACGCGTCATCTTGTTGATACCACGGAAGTTGTGGACAACTACACCTGAGCTACGCTGTCCGAACCCGAACCCGCTACACACGCAGGATCACATAGGTGCTGGTGATCGCTCGCACCGAGCGACGACAAAATCAACAAAGGGGTGAGGTCTGGACCCATGGATACGAGGGTCAGTATGAGCGCGAATTGCTTGAAGGAGCACCTACCAACTGAGCATACATGCACAGACTACAGACCACCCACTCCGCGTATGACTGAAATTTGTCGCCTCATGGATACTGGAAAGACGGCTAGGAGTGCCCAAAGCACAGGCAAAGGGCATCAGCACATGGATGGATCATTCTGTTGCGGGGCTACTGGCCATTACTGGCATCAAACTTGATCAACCATATTGCAAGACATGCAGCAGCATAGGGGAGCTGTGCAATGCTCTTTCGTGTTGGCAGGGCTTTGATTGCAATGATGTGCAGTCTTTGGCTGGCTTATTATGTGCAACCTGACAGGCAGCTATCCAGCGGCTGAAAGCAAGCGTGTCGAGCGAGAGAGACGCTTGAGGACTTCTTGGATCTCCTGCCCATGCTGCGAAAGCACAAACCAAGCTGTCCCAGACATCTTTTCGGCATATGAACGCAGCAACTTGTGCTGATGAAACCGGGAATCTGCTTGCATGTTCCCATGGCAAGTTGATGCATGCTGCAGTGAAACATGGTTGCAAGCCCACGTGTCTTCCTTCATTATTTTGCAGCATTGCTGGCATGTGTCGCAAGTATGAGTCCTTCTTCATGGGAGTTCCCTGCATAGTCCTTTTGCAGCAACATAACGAAGTTGTTTGCATCGGTGGACACTTGGGCCGCAGTGAAACAACATCCTATGCTACAACAAAGTTTTGGGCAAAGACGTTGGCTAGATGATGCGAGCTACTTAGCCGACCACGACCTATGTAACGATGAGCTAATTGAAATAAAAAGTTATACACGTCTTCTTCATGACTTGAAACAGTCGTGCTGCTGTGGCCGCTATCACAAGGACCTCAGATCCAGACTGGATGCGACGGCAAGTTTGTGGCGATTTACGACAATCCTCCTACAAGCAGTCACAGGCTGCAATGGCATAGAAAGTGCAAGATTTTTTCATGAATTATGGAACAACCCCACAGGAAATAGGAACTGTATTTGCATCCTACCCAGATCTCAAAACCAAGGCACCCGAGTTGCTCCCGGACTTCTGCTTCAAGCCTCTGATATGCTGCCTCAGCCTTAGCAAAAGCAACGGTCGTTACAGTTGCGGGTTGCAGTATGGGGCGTGGTATATACAGTTTAGCGGCTGCATCTTCCTTGTCGTGATCCTCCGTCTTTTCCTCATGGGCTCAGTGCACACATTTGCGAACACACATATATCTATGGTTTCATGCCGCGCGTGTGACCGCTTCACAGAATCCATCAGGGGCCACTTAGAGGGTGCGCTCAGAAGACATGCTACTTAGCCGTCGCTCAACGAAAGCACTCAAGCCTTCTCCTTCTCTCCTGCACCATCAGCTGCCATCTGGGCCTGCCCACTGCAGTTCAACACCGCACCCTCATGTACGAAGACACGATACTAGCTGAAGTGGTAAAGACGGCGCACTCACTCACCTCTCGCTGTATGCAACAACGTGCTGAAAGCGCCTGCTTCTCCATCAAGTCTTTAAGGTCTCTGAGCTCCTGCTGTCGCTCCTGCCACACACACACAAGAATTTCTGCTGACACTTCAGTTGAGGGCATGCAGCTTGCTGGAGCACTGCGCACTGGCCGACTTCACTTGGCATGCCAAAACGGGTGACGCGTGGAGGAATGTTGCGCATGCCCCCTCATGAAGACTGTGCTTCTAAACATGGCCTGGTCAGTAATATGACTTTTCTGGACTAAGTTGATGGACCCTACACGCAGCTAGATAAACGAGCAGCACAATTTCCCGCCGGCCTGAAAGTATCTTACGCCTCGGAAGACACTGCAGGGCACGGTAAACGAGGTACAGCATTCACATAAGTTGAGCAGACATTCACATGCAATTCCTCCCATTCCTGCTTCCTGCTGTAGCAGCTTGGGGTCAAATGCTCCAATCCGAGCTGACGCTGGGCTCGCGGCGCTTCTCCTCTCTATCGAGGAAACGCCTCCAGGATGTGAGATGTGCTTCTTCTCCAAACTTATCCCGGAACGCATGCCCCAGAAAGGCAAGGCCATCAGACCAGCATAGATTCTGCGCCATGTGCATGCGCCCGTATGCCTCATGTTCTCTTTCTCCCTGCCACCCGGCTTTATCAAGTTCCTCGGTAGACGCTTGAACGCGCGCACGGAGCTTCCAAATGGCAGATTGCTTCTGGGAAATTGAGGACCTTCATTCCCAGGAGCTTTGGGATGTTCTGGATGTGGAGGTGCCCCTGCGCATCGCCGACAGCCAGCTTCTGCCCTTCCTTGATGTCACCTCCGGTTCTACTACTTCTAGCACTTGTTCGGAACAAGCTCTGGGGTCATGACCATGGTAGCAGAACATCATGGACGAAATCGCCACAGACGCCCCCGTGTCAGAGAGTGACGCCTCGGAGATTGTTGGTCTTAAAGCAGCTGTTGCAGCTAAACAAAAAGCTCCGACTCCCACGTGCTCCGGCCTTGTGCGACTGATCGCTGAAGTCCCAAATGTCAATCCTTGAGTCAAGATGAGAAACATCGCAGTGAAGAAGATAGAACAAAACATAACACCCTCGTTGGCGATGGCTCACTGCTTCCAAAGCGCCCGCCACTAACGAGGCCGAGGAAAACAACAGAGGGCCGCGTAGGACTCCAAACACCTCAGAACGCTTCAAAGAATGAAAGGGCAGGTTGAGCCCTTTCCACCACATGGCTCAGTTTCGTCCGAAACTCTTGCTGGGGGCAGGGCCGCATGTGTAGTAGGTCGAGGTGTATGAAGACATGAAGAGGTGCTCACTAAGCCCATCCTGGCAAACGTGATCCCGTCTCAAACGGTGTCTAGCACTCGTTGCTTGGATAAAGTGTCCAAAGCCTTGATGCACAGTTGCTTTGAGGACTCATGGTAGAAGATATCTTGCTGGCCTTGAAAAGGAAGAACGCCCAGTCCTGAACTGACAGTGTGAGCACGTTCAGCTACCTGCCACGTGTCACTGAACGCATCTCAGTCTAGTTTCAGGCGAGGTGCTGTCACCCCTAGGAGGATGTCTTCAAAGAAGGGTGATCGCCTGTGCAGAAAAAAGGCGGCTGCTGGCATGCCGTGTCCGACAATCGCTCTAACCGCAAGCGTGTTCTACTCATCCTGAAGGGCTTCCGCAAGATGTCAATCGCTTGCTTTTCCAGCATCATCCTACGGAGAAACGGAGACACATATCTGAGCTCAGGGCTCCAGTGACAGCATGGGCCGGAAGGTCTTGCAGGTGCTGTACATCCTTGGCCACCCAAAGGGTTGCCCTGGAATTTCCACTGTCGAGGGAGAAGCGCTGCATGAGGAATGCGGCGTGCAAGCTCTGTGAAGTCTGCAAAGCCAGTGATGAGGTAAAGCTCACCCAGCCCGTACTTGCTGACCCTTCCCAGGGCGCGGGCTTTTTCACGACATCTGCCTTTCTATCCTAGCCAGCGGGAAGCAAGGCTCAGCGTGCTTATCAGAGCGTCAACCAGCTACCATTGAGAATTGCCTCCTCGCCCCGCGCAGCCCAATCCCCGAGGATAAGCTCCTTAGCTTCGAGAATGTCACGATATCGGCATCTATCGGCAGTGCATCAGGAGCAGAGTCGAAGCAAGCAGACCGAAGTTTGCTCATCAAGCCCGGCGTCGCCCTCTTCCGTGCTGGCGTAGAAGTTCGTCAGCAGCTGGCAAGGTATTGCTCATCGCGGCAAAAAAATCCGACCCACCAGCAAATGCAGCAGAGCAAGCACTACACTTCACAGCTGCGCTACCTTGTTGCCCTTGTCATCGTAGCGATCATGACCTCAGCTTAATGAGAACATTCCCTCAGACTTGCTCCAAGCATCCCCGCAGAGTCTTGCTAAATCCTACAAACCGCTCACTAGGAAAAACACTTCCAGGGTCTGAGGCCGCCAGCAGTGCAGAATGTGGCAGAGGCCCATCTCAGTACCACTGTCCTGCATGCCGCACTTCAAGGCTCCTTCCTTCTGAGCATGGACTCCAGAAGAGGGTAGCTTGATCTCGGTTTCCAGAGGCCCTAACAAATGCAAGCAGCTGCTTCCCCGCCCGCTCCTGGCGCTGCAGCTGCACGCGGTGCACTGGCCGCCAAAGGAAGTCGTTGTCATTGATGGCATCAAGCATAGCCTGTTTTCGGTTGGCCCTGTTAAGCGTTATAGCAAGCGAAGCGGATTCATTCCTCTGCTCTATTGTACGTGCACTAACTTGACATTGGACAAAACAGAAGTTTCGCTGTATTGCTGTCAAGGATTCGCCTTTGGCGCTTGAAGTTGTGTACAGTGCTGCTCGTCGGT